ATAGGTGGTGCTACTTGTTGTAGGAATGTGGTGTCATAGCAATTGCATCCTATACATACTGCTAACCTTCTGTATCCGTCACCTTTTTTGGCGAATGCTCCTACTAAACGGCTCGAGTATGAAACTATAAAGTCCGGACAATCAACTTCCTGTTCCAACGATTGCATCTTGTTCTTCTGACTTCTCCTAGAACTGGCCTGTTGGCTTATATCGGCAGTAATGATAATATCACAACTACTGAGACTCTCCGAGATTGTCAGGGTATAATGAATGAGTCTTTTCATTTCCCCAACTTTAACTAACTTAGCGATCAAGACACAGAAAAGTCGTGATTGATGGGAATATGTATCGCTAATTAGTTCGTGTCACACAGAATATGTTGGCTCACCTCATCATAAAAAAGCAAATGTCACAATATTACAATGTTCACGTCATTACACGCAGTAATAAAAGTGTGCAATAGGAATAAAGACAGCAAAAAGAATGAAACTTCTGCCAGGCAGAATTACCTTAAGTTCACGAGGATTGATGGTGTTCCCCGTGGAGCCTGTTGACCACAGGCGTTTTATGAGGCCGGCAAAACATTCCGCAATAATGCCCTTTGAACCTAAACTGCTGACACGATTTAAATCCTTTTTATATTTGTCCTTAAGGAAGAAATCCGTCAGCTGGGGTACGTTGGAAATGCACTGAAGTGCGCTATTCATGTAACAAGTATTGCCCAAATTGTGCAACCCAACAACACCCCGTAGTTGACCTCCAGACACGCCATAAGCCGAAGATGCCGCAAGCGGGTATGATGAAGAACATCCCTATAAGAAGAAATATATAAATAAAAGGACTATCCGACGATATTCATACTCATATCCATTCAGAATTAATAACAAGAGGGCTGTAGTCAGAGGATTGTCCCTACTCCTTACTATAAACTTAAAAAGGTAAAATTAAAACATTCAGCGGCATAGGCTGCTGCGGTCATGGTCTAGCATGAAAATGTTTTCACTGAATACGAAAACTTACATCCTATGCAGTTACACGGCAGACTACGGGAAACAAAATTTTCCTGTAGTGCTACCTCAGCTGCCACTGGAAAATACGTTGTGGTAAATGAATTCTAGTCTAATCTTATCTTCTTAACTTTTTCTGGTTGTCAAAACCTCTTAAAATAAAGAAATTCGACACCAATCATCCAAAACATCCCACCCCCCCTCCCCCGCCTTTTACCTCATGTTTGAAACCACATACCTGACACTGGCAGTGATAGTAGTAGTGAGCATTCACAGATCACCTAACGGAACACATTCAACCCTTTGGGAAAAAGGGACGCCATCATGAGCCCTGCCAGCGCCCATTACCCGAGCGCAGCAGACAATACAAAGAGCCCATGGCTCAGAGATTGATGTGCTAGTCTCCTAACCAACAGGTCGCGAGTTCGACCCATGGGGTCGTCAACCTAGAATTGGGCATAGCTGACTGATTACGTCAAATAAGCCAGAAATGCCCGATCAACTCTTCCTTACCTTTCTTGGTAATGTTGTCCATCCACCGATAGCGTAATTTGAATTTATTTATTTGGATACAAATTCAACTTGTTG